AAAAAAAAAAAAAAAGTTGTAACGGAACGTGTTGAGTAAGAGGATGAATAGTGGTGTTTTATCATGTACTATTTCTTTACTGGAGAAGGGTTGGGTTGGAAATACCAGAATGCTTTTGGAAAATCCTCAGCTTGTGTGGATGCTCTATTGCTAGAAAGTCTTTCAGTATTGTGTTACTGTACACCACTGATTTTTTGCTTGCCCAGTAAGATAAGATGCATTTTAGGTGATTTGGAGGAAAAAAGCACCCACTTTTAAGTTCCTCACCATGGGGTTTTGAGATTTATTGTAGGTAGAATGGAGATAATAAACTGTAACTTTTGGTTAGCTAGGAGGTGTCTCTCATATATATATATATAAAATATATATATGTCCTATGGTTAGTTCTTAAGCTTAATTTTAAACCTTTTAAACTTTCCTGCTGGTTTTGAAGCTGAAGAGCATTACCTGCAAGACCTAACAAGTTTTTTGATTGTTGATAGCTGATGAGAGCAGCTTTTTTTGCCTGAGTGTTTTATTTCCTTGTTCAGAGTTTTTAGTGCACCTATAAGAAGGGGCACTGGTGTCCCACTAGTGAGATCTGCAGTCTTTTTCCTTGTTGATGAGTAGATAGTGCACAAAATTGAACAAAGTGTCAAATCAGTCAGGGCTTAAGTTCTGTCTGCTACTAAGAATCAAACAGACAGTCTATGTCTACTTGAATTTTTGATTTTTCCCTAAGAGATCTGGTCCAGTTGCAAAGTTGGAGTTTTTTCTTGAGGAAAACCAAGGAAATATTGACAGTGCTGTTACTGCCATGTGAGCTCCCCCTTTTTTTTTTCCTTTTTTTTTTTCCCCCTCTTAATCCTTCTCGCGCGTCTTTCTGGACGTGCTCATTTTCTGGCGCGTCCGATTCTTTCAGCATTAAAGCAGCTAGCAAATACGCGGTGATTAAAAATGAAGAATTTTAAGCCGCGGAAGTGGGACACAGTCAGTGCCCTTGGGTATAGCAGTTTTTTCCTTTCCCCGATAAACGTTATTTCCACTATTTCTTTCGGGAATTTGAATTTTAAAACCAAAGTAAGTGTAAATCGGCGCGGCTTCGTCGGTTTCGGGAATTTTGAGGTTGATACCGTTTATGCCGAGATCAGAGCACTGCAGCAGTGCCAGCTTTTATCGTTATAAAACGTACTGACGCCAAGTTGCTGATCGTTTGGTGGAGGATTTCGACATATTGTCTTGTGATATTCTCCCTCCAAAAAAGCAAATGGAGAAGTAAGGATCCCAAAATAGATTCACTTTCTTCTCTGGGATTGTCTTTGTCTTGCTTTGTTCTGCTCTGAATCAGCTGCGGGGTTGTTGGTGCAGTGTATCTCTTTGTTAGAAATCACCACCAGATTTCATTAAGAGTGTAAACAACTAACAGCCCTACTTCTTTTGAGGGGCTCATGTTTTAACAATAAATTAAGTAGATCTGGGATGCCGTTGCACTGGGGGGATTTTTGCTGTGTAATTTATAATGTCATTGTCTTAATAAAACGTCTTTATGTTCGGGAGCGCTGCCTTAAATGATGAAATATGATGTAAGAGCATGACTATGTGAAGTACTGAGCATCCCACTGTTGCTAGTAGGACTGAATTGGCATAAAATGTCGTCTTTGCTAGATCGAATCTACTCTTAAGTGCAAACGCAATGAAAAATGTACGGTGCCGAATGTCAAGCATTAATCTTCTGTTTCAGGTATTGTTAATATTCTGCAGCATTACCTCGATTTCAGCTCGTGAAACTGTATAAAAATGTAATTTTCTGTTAGAATTGCAATGTTAAAGGAATGTTCCTTATAGCTGCGGTTACCTGAATCAGTGTTTCTTAGTGTCCCATGGAACATAAAGCAGATGACGATGACGCTGGAGGTGATCTACCCGGCGAGGATGTGGCCAGAAGTGATGGCCGGCACTGGGATGAGTCTGGGCTTGGAGCAGTGCTGAGAGGGCTTGGGGAGAGGATTGTAGTGGAGCTCCATCCCCATTCCACTCCTAGCAGCTCTCTGGCCATCCACCTCCATTTCTGCCGGCTGGAATGGACAAGAGCCTTGCCAACCGCCCCAGGCTTCTGAGCTCGTTTAGGGAGAGGCAGGTGTGGCTGAGCTAGGAAAAAAACTGGAGCAGAGCTGAGAGAACTATGATGCCAGTGCAGCTCCTGTACTGCTTCCTGCTCTAGCCACCCTCTTCGAACTGCATCCCTTTCTCTGCTTCCTCCTATTCCTGCCTGCATGTCCTCTGTAAATCAGGACATGCTTTGGAGGGCGAGAATGGAGGAAGCTGTAGGAGGGGATATGAAGCACTTTGTGGGGAAATGTGGAGAATTTCTTTTCACAATGGCTAAGTCGAAACAAATGTGTGTACTTGAATGTTGAAATCCAATACTTAATACAGTGAACCTTCCAGCAAGAACAGAAATACACCAGCAGAGATGGGATTGCATGATAATGGGTTTGAATTTGTACTGTATCTTTCTGGAAAACTTAAATAGAGGAGTGAAACTAGTCTGTAACAAATTAATGTAAATTTTAGTAAAATTGCTTGTAATACCAATTCCAGGTGGTTGTTTTTAACATGGTAGTTCCTTAAAAAAAAAAAAATTTCTTTCCATTAGCACCTGTGCTAGAATTTGACTATCTCATCTGTGGAGACTGTGGCAAAGAATTCATGGATTCCTACCTTATGCAGCACTTTGATTGGGCAACATGTGATAATTGCAGGTATTGCTAATAATTGGGAGAGGAAAGCTTTATTTTATATAAAGATTGCTGGCTATAATTTAGTTAATGAAAGTCATTCTGTTTAATTAAAAAGGCTGTCAGCAAAGAGATTTTTTCAGTAACTTAATGCTTACTGAAAAAGTAAATGGAAGTTGACTAGTAAACTGTTTTTTCCATTACGGAAGGGAAGAACAGCAGCATTGTCTCGCGAGCCTGTCTTGGGACAGGAGACAGGAGATTTTTACATAACATGGAAACGTTTTGAGAGCAGTTAGTGTGTTTGTCAGTGTGGAAATTAATGTCTGGTTGCAGACTAGAGCTATTTGAAAAAAAACCTGATAGAACACAGAGTACCTGCTTTCTGAAGTAGAGGTGGGGATTAGGGGAGTATTTGCTGTCCTAGTGAATTAACCCAAGTGAAGTTAGTACTTTGGACAGCATGAGTGGGCTGGGAGCATGGCAGCCAAAGGGCAAAACCCTGCTGGGAGGTTACTGGTTGACCTGCAGGGTAAGCAGGAGTTTGACCTTGAGTGGAAGCCAGTCTCTGCTTTTATCTTAACACAGAAAATGCTCCAAAAGCCATCGAGGTAACTAGGGCAATGAAAGAAACTGAAGCAGCTAACTACCCATGTGTGTAATAATGAATGGGTGAAGGGGGGGGGTGGGGGGAAGATAGCAGCTAGGAGTTTGTTCTGATAGCTTCCCTGCTTACTACTGGGAGTGGTCAGGGGTGCACATGGTGTAGGCAGTTCACAGTCATTAGAGATGAAGTGCTGTCTCTTGAAGGTAAGGTGGGTGGAAAAATGATGTTAAGAAGAGGGCACAGAGTGGTTTTCTTTCAGACTTAAGTAGCTCTTGGCTACTTGCGTTAAAGAGATTCCTCTGTGCAGTAGCTTTTACTGTGAACTTTGAATTTTAGTAAAGCTGCATTTACAGCAGGCAGTACTTCCTTGATGACCGTTGATAGCAGTTAACTGGCAGATTGTTCCGGCTCAAGCAATTCAAACTGTACTTCAGTCAGGATTGCGTAAATGTAATTTTTTTTCATTAACTCATAAATGCTGCTGTGGTTACACAGTTTTTTCATCATCTGTCTGGTAAAAGATACAGTCTCATAAGGTATTTATTTTACGGTTCCTATGCCTCCTGTCTTGCATTTAGAAATAAGTGCTCTGTGTTGCTAATCTGTTTCTGGGATCTAGAAGCATATGGAGTGTGTATATTCTCAGGTGATCTGACCTGTCTCACATTACACATTCTTTCTTTCTTGACCATGTAGTCAGGCTTGCACTGTTGTCCTCTTGAATTGCGTCTGGGTTAGGTGAATACCTAAAATTATTCATACTCTTTTCAAGTTTCAGTTAACTCCCTCTTGGAATAAAACAGAAGAAAAGCCTTTCTAGAAAAGCAGGCTTCTCAGCATATGTTTGTTCAAATGGGAGAGTTCTTAAATTCAATTTCAGTAAACCTATACTGGAGTTTAGCTACATTGTTGGAATCCAAAGTTTATTTGCATACATAAAAAATGAGATGAGGGCTTGCCTGTATTTCAGGAATGTTAGATGTGATGGGGACTTAGATGTTAATAATGTGGTTTCCAGGTGTAGGTTTCTCATAATTATTTTACATCTTCCAGAGATACTGAAGATAAACATAAGCTTATAACAAGGACAGAAGCGAAAGAAGAGTTTCTTCTTAAAGACTGTGACTTAGACAAGAGGGAACCAGTGCTCAGATTCATTGTGAAGAAAAACCGTCATAATTCACGATGGGGTGACATGAAACTTTATTTAAAACCACAGGTATAGAAACTTTACATATTTTGGATCTCTTTCTACCTTTGTACAACTTCAGTAGCCAAAATGGTGTCACTTTGGTTTTGATTTCTGAATTACTTTGTCAAAGCCAAGTATATTATGCATAGGTTGTGTAAATTTTCTGTATAGTTAAAATAAAGAGCCATGGTCCAAATTTGTGAAAATGGCTGTGTTAGAGAGCATTTTAAAGATGTTCATGGATCACAACCTTAGTGGTTTGCACAGTTACAGGTCATGAAGTGCATGGTCTTTCAGGGCTGTGCTAAAATGTGGGGCTGCTGCTGCGTGTGTGGCCATTTGTAGCTGTGGCCTCATTTGCAGCTGCTCTGCCCTCAGAGGCAGCAGGAGAGGCAAGTAGGTTTTCCAGGGCTCTTGACATTTCTTGTTTGCTACTGTTAAAAGGATGCTGCTGCTTAAGTGGAATATACACAAAAACAGAGCTGGGTTTGGTTTTCCTGAGTAAGCTACATCTAGCCAGTAGTAAAAATTAAGTGTTGCTGATACTAAAAAACTGTTAACCTCCTGTAGAAGGAATGCTATTTTTTCAAGTCAGGAGCAAAGAGGTAGATGGGAGGCGGAGGCAAGACTGGGTTGTCTTTTGTATGTGTAGGAAAATTAGATTTGTGAGTTAGTTTACTTCTGCTGTTTCAGTGGGAAAAAGAAACACATTTATGTCTATACTGTAGGTAGTCAAGCGTTCTCTTGAAGTCTGGGGTAGTGAAGAATCGTTGCAAGAAGCAAAGGAACTCCGCCGTGACAACAGAGAGAAGATGAAACAGAAGAAGTTTGATAAGAAAGTTAAAGGTAAAGGGTTAAACTTACACACTGCAGTACCTTAAGTAAAGTACAGCTCTGTTTAAATTTGTTTCTGCATCTGATTAAAGTATTTAGAAAATCTTCAGTGTGGCAAAATGGAGGTTTTCAGGAGCTGTGTGGCTAAGCCCTGAGCAGTCTGGTTTGACCTCATAGCTGACTTGTTTTGGGCAGAGGGCTGGGCTGGAGATCTGAGGTCCCTTCCAACCTGAATTACCCTGTTGTCCTATGGACATGATGTAAGTAACAGAAATCAACTACAGTGGTTCATTATGGGATTTATATTTTTTTTTGATTCTGTTCCTTTTCCTGACTTGCGGATAATACGGATTTTTGTGGCAGTGGGTTATAATTCTGTTGTGCATACGCTTTCAGGTGGAGTAACTGTAAATGAAGGTAGAAAATGCCTTTTCCTGCTGTTTACAGTATTCCCAGCTGCTCTTTTTACTGCTTAATACCTTTGTTTTTTCATGATAAATTAGTATTTAGGAGATAATTCAGTGCATATAACTTGTGAAAAATACTTCCAGCACAGACATGCTAGTAATTTTTAAAAAGACCAGTTTATATCTTCACAAGAGCTGAGGCTTAGTGTGAATGTCTGTGCTGCCCATAAGCATCCGTGCTTCACTTTGGGTTGGCACTCAGAGGCAGAAAGCTCAAGCTGGCTGTACTGGTATTGTCTGGAAGAGGCAGAATGTGAGACCGAGCTAATAACCCCTGTCCTCAGCATTAACGTTGGGCACACAGAAGGACTGGCAGCAGACGGTAGTCAAGATGCCAGAGTTCAGTGCAAGTACAGGCCTTAACATGACAAAGTTTGCAGGCTGAATGGCTTGGCTCAAATGTGATGACGATTTGCTGTTCAGTATGCTTGCCACCCACTTGCAACATCCGGATAATATCTTGGGCTCGGCTGCCAGCCTGTGCTCTCTTGAAAACCTGCTGACTTCACTGCGGCTGCTGCAGAGGCAGCTCACGTTATTGGGCATAAAGCTTAGAGAATGCCAAGTCATTTGGGAGGCTTACTGTGACCTGAATGAAAAGTACTTTCTTGATCACGTAAAACAATGAGGTGTTTTATAAAAACTTTTTCTCTGTGTTCCACCTGTCCCTTTTGGATACCTTCAAATGGCTTCATGTAAAATGGCAGTGGGCAACACGTATTCAATCCAGAAGGAGAATCTTCTCCTGTGAGATCTCATGTTGGTGTAGTTCTTACCCTTCAGAATATGCAAACAAGGTGAAGATTGCAAGGCAAGTCAAAGCTTGTTCTTGCAATAGCAGATTCTTGCCTAAAACTTATGCAAGGCAACAAGCAGATTGTCTGTAGTCCTCAGAAAGGTGGCTAGCTTGAATTTTATTAACCATTACTTAAGATTTATTAAAATACTGAATTTTTCCTGTATTTCTCATCAGAACTCCGCCGAGCTGTGAGGAGTAGTTTGTGGAAGAAAAAATCTAGTATCCATGAACATGAGTATGGACCAGAAGAAAACATTGATGAAGATACATATAAAAAGACATGTACTGTATGTGGCCATGAATTAACTTATGAGAAGATGTAGTGTGGTGTTAATCATGTTTTTTATTTATCTTTTGAATGGTATTTTGTATTGAAGTCAAATAAATGCTGATTATAAACAAGCTGTTGTTCTGTGAAGGGTGATGTTTGTCAGTTGTAAGAAGCTCTGCAGAACAGTAAGCTTTGGCTTTTAAGCTATGTCTTAGGGTAGAATAGAACACATTTTTAACAGTCCAGTAAACTGATACCTTGTAGGCCAAAAGATGGTAACATTCTACTTCATGTGCTGATGAAATCAAGGTATACTTCCCACTTCTCTGCTTCCATTAGAGGAGGAAGGCTCCATAGTTTGTCCTCACTATTGTCTGTTTTACAGTAACTTTACTGGTCAGGGGTGGTGGGCAACTAGCTGGTAAAGCACCTCCTCTTGGAGGTTGGAGACACTGTCATAAGGCAGGTTCTCCTGCTTTGATTTGCAGACTCAAATTTAGTAAAGGAATATTCTTTAGAGGAAAGCTGTAAGCTCCTGGCTGACATTCTAGCAAATGTGTCTTCTGCTTTTTTTTTTTTCCTAGGTTTTGGACTAGAGACCAGGGTGATCCTTGAAATGTGACTTTATCAAAAGCTTGTAAATTAAAAGGGTAAATAACTGTCCTTGGGGGAGGAAATAGCAGTCCAGGGTATATTGCTCCAAGTGCACCTGAATGAGGTTTGCTTTCACATTAGAATTTCACATCTTTAGTTCTTGAAGCTGTTGGGGACTGTTTGTGGAAATGGCTGAAGTGAAGGAACTACTCCAGGCAGCATCTCTGCATTTGTTCACTGTAAATATGGCAGATCTCAGTGAAGGCTCTGGAAGCTTTGTAGGGGAGCCTGGGCTACAGTGGCTGTGCAGAACTGAAATGTTCCAGGAGGAGCAGTTGTCTCAGGAGGGCACGCAGTGGCTCCACTAACAGGTCTCCGTGTCTCCCACTCTCACCTGCAGTCTGCTGCCTCACAGACCTGCCCTCCCACCAAGTATGGGGGCTTGAGAACCTGCAAGGCTGAGGAGGGCATGTGGGGTTGGCCAGGGGGAGCAGGAGGCAGGTCCTGGCCGAGCTTTCAGAGGTACTCCTCCATGTCATCTAGGCCCACATGGGGTCATGGAACCATCTCTGGTGCACACTGGCTGCTGCATCTACCTGTGGGCAGGCTGTACCAGCCACCCCCCAGCACCAGCAGCCCACCCCTGCCTCATCTGCAGCAGCACCACCCTGAGAACAGGAGGTAGCAGGGGAGGGGAGAATTCCCACATCAGCAGCCTCCAGGCATGGAGCAGCACCCAGGCTTGCGTCACCTGGCTGTGCAGGTGGATCAGCCTGTGGCACAAGGAGGTAAAGGCTTGTGTGTCAGTCAGGTACCAGCACAACCCCACTGTGACTGCTTTGCTTCAGTGGCCCTCCCAAGAGGCAGGACAAACACTCCATTAGCAATCGGTTTCACCTTCATTTATTTTTACTTGTGCATTTTTTCCAACCACACCACGTTTCTACAGCATCTTTACACTATCCACCACTTCGTGCTTCAGCCGTTACAGGTTTCTCCAGTTAGCTGCTGGTAGCACTATGCAAGCATCTCATTCTTTCCTACAGATCCAAACAGTTTCTCAGTTCGAGTCAGGTGCATGCCACTGGACTTACAAAGAGTGGAAGGTGTCCAGCAGACTCAAGAAATGTAGTCAAAGCCCATGCTCACCATGGAAAAGTCAAATCGATTTTGAAAGACATTACTGTTTGGTTTCAGATCACAGGATTACACTCGGGCATTTGCAACTGGATCCCTAGCACCCCTATTTGTCAAGGCTCAGAAGAAGTTACAGGTTTGCAAGTTTTATTATCGATTTTACAGAAGTCACATTTATAGTCAGACCCCCACCATTAGTTAATATCAGAACTGAGCCAGTGAAAAAACTATTAAAACCCAATTAAAACCTCTACAGTATTAAATGTTTCTTACAAAAATCCACCATTTGATTACTCAAGAACATTAACAAAAATATTTGAATCAGAAGTCTGTGCATGACCAACAAAACCCTTGCGTAAAGCAAATTTACAACAATTAACAGTATATCCTGAAAGAATGGAGGGATCAGTCAGATCCAAAAGGGTAAGCAGAGAAAGCAGAAGTAACAGATCTAAATCTATAAGGATATATCAGATTGCTATAGGCCACACACAAATTTAGGTCAAAGTAGAAAGTTTTTTTACCCTCCCTCACTTGGTCAGGAGGTCAGTTGGTCAAAGTACAGATGAAATGCATTACTAGGCATAATACATGAAAAAATAATTTGTACAGGAATAAAATTACTTAAAGCTTATAACTTTCTAAGCTTAAAGTGAATAGCACTGGGTATGAAATTCTTTAAACATTTATCTGCAAAAGAAAGAGACCATAAACAGCCTGGAAATACACTGCACACTGACAGACCTGAGAACCTAAGGCAGTGTCTTTGCCATTCATCACTGCTTACTGTAATAACAGACCACTCTGGTTTGGCATTTATGTACGTAATGTTATTTGCATAACTCAAAACTAAGGCTACTCTATCTTCAGGTTTTGTTTTCCCATTCTAAGTTTCCTGTGAGATATCACTTAATTTAGTATTAAAATGCCTTCTGAAGACATGGGACCCACATGCTGCCACATTTTAAAGCAAGGTAAGAGTAGCAGATGCAGTCACCACAAAGCAGTTGTTACGAAGCCAGATGAGGTGAGGGCACTTGGTTCATCAGCTGTCACTACCAGGAAGATTTCTGGCATCACTGCAGGCCTGCAGGTCCAGCCCAGTGGAAGCTTGGCAACCCAACTAGTTAGGGGCTGAAATCAAGGAACAAGCTGAATGCTGCCCTGCCCTCTCCCCTAGCATCTGAGGCAGGAGTTCCCAACAAGCAGGTAAGGCTTGCAGTACAGAAACCAAAGTTTGTTCCACTCCCACTCTCTCTTACTGTCTCTAGCAGAGAAGACTGCTGCCAGGAACATTCTTCAAAATACTGCAAAAAGGATCGCATTTTTCAGAAGTTGTCCATGAAGATCCTATACTGATTGTTTATATCTACTGTAAATAAGACACTAGACAACACATCTAAAAAACACATTTCAACTGTAATACAACCATGTTTTTTCAAACAGTGAATATCTAGCTGGCTTGGTAATAAGCAAATCCATATGCTCTATACTACTTTGAAAGCTTAACTCAAGTGCTTCACATGACCAAAGACACTTTTCCTATCTCATACTAGAGAACTTAACCACACTGCTGAAAAGGTGCATTCCCTTTCAGATTCACAAAACACTATGAACTGTTCCTCATTTCTGCAATTCCTTTGATTTAAGGGCAAGGCAGTGGTAACAAATCCTATGGTTTTTTTTTTTTTTTTTTTTTTTTTTTTTTTTTTTTTTTTTTTTTTTTTTTTTTTTTTTTTTTTTTTGTTTTGTTTTGTTTTTGGGGAGGGGGGTGTTGGGTAGGCTGAGGTAATTTTATATAAACAACAGGGAAGAAACAAAAATACTATCATGAAGTCAAGAATCAAACCAAAAGACAACAAAAAGAATTAATACATTACTCCATGTCTATCCCCTATCAGTCACATCTTGTAAGGCTTGTGATGCTTACACAGTTTGCTGTTGGTTAGAGTACTGTACTGTTTTATATAGGAGCAATGAAAGCTAGTTTTAAGTCAAAGATTTCTTCCATCCCCATGTCAAGTTTTCCCATTAAAAAATTTAAACTCGATTAAGTCCTCCAGACGAGACTCTGTCTGTGAATAATCCTCAGGCCTGCAGAGCACAGAACTGCTGAAACACAGCCAGTATGTGGTGGTCCAGTTCAGCTGTAAACAGGAGGTTTTCTAGGGTCACCATGTACTGCTGGATTATCTGGTGATGCTGGCAGACAAAAAACAAAACCCACAAACCTTTACTGTTTATGTATATAAAGATAAATGGAAAGAACAGGCAGAGAAGCTCAAGTATTTTAATCAAAAAATCTCATTTCCACAACACAGAAACCACTGACAAGCAAAGCGTAACGCAGAGCCACTACTAACTGCACAAAGAAAGCATGTGCTGAAACCCTGTCCTGAGAAGCACTGTGCTCCCTGTAGCTCTTCACTCCTGGACCCTGAATTGTGTGCAGGATACCATGTAACTGCACAGATATCCTAAGGGAATCATGATACTTGCTTCCCTCTGAAGCCACATCTACCACCAGAGAAGAGTTCAGCCCAGGAGGGAATTATACTACTCCCATCCTTCAACGTATCTTCTGCTTGCACAGGTATAGTATTTCATGTTACTATCACTTTCATCCAGCCACCTGTGCTTGTTACCTGACTTAATGAAGAGCAAAGAATTAAAAAAATTTTTTAACAGATATTTACACATCTTATTAAAAAGAATTCTGTGGTATTTTAACTTTAATCTGTTTATTTTAAAGACATCTATTTTTAGTGTTCTTGTTCACTCACAACTTTGCCCTTACTATAAACACACAGTTAACAAGAGCTCAGCAAAATTCATAACCACGTTGTGGTATCTTTTTGGTATGCTCCTTAATCAAGGACCAGTCACTCCACCAGCCTGTGGCAGAGTTGTGACCAAAACCAGAGGTACTACCTAACCCCACACTAGCCTTCAGAAATGATGTGGTGCTGCCACCTGCTGCTACTCTCACGGAGTGCTCATTTCTCCATCCACAAAGCTCATCTATTCAGCACGTCTCTGCCCACAACCTTTCAAAGTGAGAAATGAAACTTACCTGCAGGAAGATCTGCTGCAGCCTCTCTATACAGCTCTTGTACCAAGGTGTAAATACATCGATTCCACCAGTCTCACAGCGCACTAAGTGCTCAGTTAACAACATAATGAAACGCTGCAGGAGAGGAAAAACACCCACTTATTCAGTCTTGTCAAATGAAAGCAGGATCTGAACCTCAGGTAAGATTATCTGGGGGACAGAAGCTTTAAACAGCAATGTGACAATGATTATTTTGCTTGGCAAACACTGAATTTAGTAAGCAAATAAAATCAAGTTACCTTCTGGTTGTTAGGGAAACTATGCTAGCAGAACTCTGTTCCTGAGCACTTGAAACTGAACAGATGTTGCTCAGAAGCAGTCTTTGCTGGGGGATGATCTGGATTGACTCTGACACATAATAAGCCCATCAACCCCTTCCCATATTCTTACTCCAAGAAGGTGCCTGAGATAAAAGTGACACTGAAAGCTTATGAATCCCGTTAAAAGCTTTAAAACCTGAAAATGAGAAGAGACTTTGCCCATCATTACCTGGAATATAACAAGGAAGAGATTCTTTTGCTCGTTCTGGGCTTTAAAACCTGAAAATGAGAAGAGACTTTGCCCATCATTACCTGGAATATAACAAGGAAGAGATTCTTTTGCTCGCTCTGGGCTGACTCCACTTTTTCCTGCAAGCGCTCTATCTGCTCTTCTAGCGGTCCGTCTTCCCGATCACTGCTTCGATCATCATCGTCATCATCATCATCACTGTCTCGCTATAAGTGACAACAACACAAGAATTGGCTACAGTAGCTGTAGATACTGTTAATGCCCCCTGGTTCCACATGTGAAAAGATCTGCAGAGCAACTGAAGCTGCTCTGTAGCTTGGTAAGCATTGTATTTTGAAGGACATTTACTCTGAATATAATTCAGGGAAGAAATTTGGAAGGAAAAATACCAATATGGGAAAGCCCTGGAAAAAAATATTAAATAATCAAGATTTCAGAGAAACCAGAGCAAATGTAAAGATTTACCAGTCCTTTATTTCGTGGAAACACAGTAAAAGGTAATACCCCTGCTGGCTTTATCATTAACAGATAATAAACAGCTTTTTAAAAGAAGTCCAACATGGATTTTTAAAATTATGTCTACTTCAGCAGGGTAGGTTATTCATTCAATTAACAGTTCTGAAGTCTCCGGGCTCCAAAAAACCAAAGCACTTTGTCCAAGAACTCAGATGAATCTGGCTGGTTAGCACAAAAGGAAGACTAAGAGACTGTAGCCTGTGGTGTTTAAATGGCGACTCCTCTATTCGTGATCAAAAGATATGCTCTCAGACTAGAAAGGGTCAGCATGGAAACCAAACTACTAACTAGGAACATGGCATATTCTCACTGTCTCAAAAACAGAACAAAACAATACCACAACAAAACCACACAAAATACATGTAAGTACCAGAGTTGGGAGCTCAGGTAACAAAATCTTACTTACAAAAGACTACAAGTGACATAGAGAGGCAGAATCTGATGGATTATGGTACATTCAAATAGATACTGCTTCAGTCTCATAGGATTGTTTCTGTGCAAAAATACCCATAAATTAACAGTTCAAAACTTTAAATACTGTAAAAGCAACTTGGACAAATATAGGGTCATGTATTAACTCACCTACTGCATAGCAAATGAAACCCACAGTCTGAAGACAGTTACAGCTCTGAATCAGCATAAAAAATAAAAACAACTTACCAGAACAAGTGGGAATTTAATTTTATTCTCTCTATAGTAACTTGCTTTGGCCCCATCTACAGAGATTTCCTGAATGCAAAACACTAAAGGACCAATAAGACCTAAGAGAAAGCATGTAAGCCTTGGACTCACTCCACAGTAAGGCAATCCACTTCATGCTGGGGACATCAAAACTTGATGGCTACTTCCTCTAAAAGGAATGGTCATGCAGCAGAGCAACAGTCTGCAGAACTACTCACTGTTGCATACAAATGTTTCTTCCTGGCACAATGCTCATTTAAAGTACTCAGGAATAAAGAGCTGCAGCAAGAGACAAGTACAGAAATGAAAACACTGGTATAGTTGTTTAGAGACGCCAGAGAAGCTCTTTGCCCCAGAATAAGATCGATGACTGCATCTAGGTCTTCAGTAATCATGGGCATTTATTAACTGCTGATTAATGTAGATTGAGGATGCAAGCAACTAGGAGGGCTGTTGCTGGGAGTGAAGGAAACAAGATGAAGGGGCTGGGGTGAACCGACACTGGCAGACTGTGAGGCATTAGTGATGTCTCATCAGAAACTTCTGGAAAAATGACTGGATTGTGCAGGTTTCTTCAAAAACCAGCAGCAGCCGCCTCTGTGTCACGTGTCAAATTTTGACATTAATTTTGTCCAGAGTTTTGGAGCTAGCTAAGGGTTTTATGCAGGTAATCATACTCACAGACTATATATAAACACATAAATTCTCTTTTGCTCTTTGAAATTCTCAGTGCATTTATAAACTAATTTCATGCTATCACAACTGAGTACTGCATTCAGCCAAGCTTCCTTGCTCTACATCTTTTGCAGCTGCCACGGAAGACACTTTCTCACCCCATTTTACTGTCACACACGGGACAGAAGAGGCTGCTTGCGCATGTTTGTGTATACAGTAACCCAGATCATGCAAAGATATTCAGAAAAATAAACTAGAAGGAAGTGACAGATGCCAGTGTCAGAATCCAGCAGCATCCATCAGAAGAACAGTAACAGCCAACTTTTCAATAGCAAATAGCTGTTTCTGTGCACTTCTGCATGGAAGTCACAAGAGTATTCTTTAACAGAACTTACTATACATAATTTGTAATTGTTCTTATTATTATCTAATAAGGTAACTGGAATCCATGTTTGAAGGCAAGTGGAAGACATGCTGGTGTTGGAAGAGAAACTTGTGAGAGCGTGAGAGCAAATATATATGAACTCCCTTAAAAGATTTTACTGAATTCTTAGGTTATAGCTACTGTTAGAAGGTAGACTGAGAAGATGCATCCAATTGTTGATGTCTTAGTGCTACAGATGACCAAATGGCTGCAGACATGCTTCCTGATAAATGTATTTATTCAGTCCTTCCCAAAACCAACTGTGCATCCACCTGACAGCATGCAGGTTTGTGTAACTTAGCTTAAAATAATTAAAAATTACAAACAAATTACTCACTCTTTTGTGCTGCCTGGCCAATCTTGCCTTAGTCTCCTCCAGTTCTTTCTGAATCTTCAGAACATGCTTATTCATCTTACGAATTGTAGAATGTAGTATCTCCCAGATGTAAAACCTAGGAAAGACACAAAGCTCAAAACACTACACTAAATACTACTCCAGAATAGAAAATTGAATGTAGTTTCTTACAGAAAAATGCATCTTGGGGAATTAAAAAAACCCCGTAATATCAAAGACATCTCAGTGGAGTGAACAAACACTCAGCATATAGGAAAATATACCTATGTATATTTAATATGTCTATATACATAATCTATATGTGTATATATTACCTATAGTAATGTAAGAAAGATTTACAACCATTTCTTTCCTACTTTTTGCAGTTCACTTCCAAACCGGCATTGTATTTCATATACATACTGTAAGACTATCAACATCAAACTGACTTCTCCGACCAAACACTTCTCCCATTCTCAATAAGCAATGTACCACTGGTGGTACAAGTTACATACCTCAACCAAAGACAAGGACCACATTAAGCTAGCAGCTATATAACACACAGCAGATTTAATTTAGAAATAATTCAAGTGTTGTTCTGCTTTGCCAGGCTTTGAGACAGCATGCCAGCAACGTTCTTGCACTGTCATGTAAACATTCATACCCCAACTCAGAAAAATGCTAAAGTACATATTTTGTAGAAGGAGCAAAAACTTATTTGTACCTTTTCTTCCACTACTCAGTTTTCATAGATTAACCTATTTACTGTCTACTTAAAATCATAATTCAGAGACAAATAACAACCCAAAATAAATTCTTGTTACCTAGTAAAATCATGTGCAAGCTCTGAAGAGAAGATCCAGTTTGCTACTGCAGCACAGTCAACAATTTGTGTCCGAATCATCTTGTCCACAAGCACAGCAATCATCTATATTTTGTGAAAGACATGGCACACACAATCTGTGTAAAGTATTCCAGCCTCAGAAAAAAGCAGAGATGGTTTGATGCAACTCTACATTAGTGATATTACTGGGTAATTTCAAATACTTTAGGAAGCTGGGCAGTCTAGCCTAAAACTGCTCAAATTATACACCTATGTCAATTACATAAAGCTTTCTGATTTTGTTTAACAACTTTATCTACTTTTTGTGAAAGTGATGTATCACTTTTTATTAACATACATACTTCCATGCAAAAGCAAAAAAAACAAGCATCACCATTGGAAGTGAGGCCTTAGAGATACAAGTCCTAGTATTTGACATTGAAGTGCTCAAACCAGAGCATATATAGCTCTCAGATCACCACAAAGGAGGAGTTATCACGGGCCTACTCTTCTTGAACTGCAACAGTCTTCGAACACACCAGTAAGCTCTTCTCTGCAGGACATCTTCATTTCAGAACAGAGCCAGCACCATGTAGTCAATGGAAGTGCTTACTTGCTACAGACACTGCCATGATTTTTGGGGGGTTTGCAAGCAATCTCGCAGGCAACTGCAGAGAGGAGTTACTGACTAAAGCAGTTGCAAGCTGTTCAGAAAAAAGGCTTATCTTAGTTACTCATGTGCTTGAATGCCACAGTATCCAAGAACCACAGCCTGCACTGTATTTATCCTTACAACCACCCATTGTCAAATAAGGAAGTGTAACAAAGCTCCTTTTAAGGAAGGAAAATTAAAATAACTGAATGAATCATACAGAGGACTCAGCACTCAACTTTCAAGTCCCAGGATAGCATTCTATGCTCTATTTGTCTTTCTGTATTGCCAGGAAGAATTTCTGATTACTGAGCCTGATCTTCCAAGAAACACAAGACATAGGAATTTGAGAAAATATTTAATCTCAATTTTAAAGTTTCTCTTTATGAAGAACCTTGCTTTTAGGTCCAGGAACTACTGATTCCCACTGATACATCACCATCTGCAGGATAGATCACTCATTAGCACTATATGCCTTGCAAATACTGCCAATAGTCTGAACCAAATCAAAGGATGTTCCCCTAGACATGGGAGTAGGGTGAGCAGCACGAAGACAACTCAGGATGAGTGTCCTGCTTTCCAGGCACTATTTCTTCTGCGTGCCAAGAGGGTTGTGGACTCAGGAAAAAAAAGTACTTGACCAGAAGACTGAACTGCCATAAATGCAAGAGACGAAAATTTAAGTTCCATGATCAAGTAGAACAGCAGACCTTCACAACTTTTGCACCTGGTATTTTTTAAAGCAATGTTAATTTATTCACAAATATCTAACATTACTGTTTAGTCTGGGTTTGAAACCACCCTCTCACTTTGGTCATGCTGCAGTACAAAGACATGAAGAGGAAGAGGATACAGATATTAGATTGCAGTAATGTAATTTCTTCTGATCCAATTAAATGGCAGTAAAAAGTAGGTCAGACTAATTGTCACATTTCAAGGTCAGTAATCTAGGTAGGAAGTTTAATATTTTAAAAAAATCCTGCTTTTTTGATGTTTTCACTCCACTTAGAGAGGTGACATTTTGCGTAGGTATCTTCTAGGTGCTTAAGTTTTTTCCCCTAGGGAATGGACCATAGGTCCAGCAGCCGATGAAAGGATTACCCCTTGTTCTCAGTGTCATTGCTTCTGAACATCTGGTTTATGCAGCTTTGTGGTACAGTTCATTTTCAAGCACAATAAAGTGCAACACAGACCCACCAGTAAGGAATATGTGAAATAATTAATGCAGGCAAATTCAGCTTGAGTTCCTTATCGATTTCTATTTATAGAAGAATGACAGCTGAGGTAGAAAACAACTGCTGTGAAGAAACTGAACAGCTTAAACAACGAAGGCATTTTTCATAGGTCTTTTAGGGTGTTATTTCCTCTGGCTCAAGAATGAACATAATCATGGCACTGTCAGACTGATCTGTTCTGAACAGCCACTGACTGCAGCTCTACTCCCTCTGCCCACACACAACAGTAACTCCAACATGAGCCTTGTGGAATAACTGTATGGCTTTCACCAGCAATTGGAAAAAAAAACAAACCCTAAAACCACCAAGGTTTCCACTTTTCTAAGAATGCGGCCTGCTTTTGATATGAAATCTACATTTTATTGCAATTTACACACCTACATTGTTTTCCAATTCTGAACAGAAACATGATATTTATTAGCCAAAGTTATTATCTTGTATGACAAACAGCATACTATAAATCTGAGGCAGAATGACAGCCTCTGCCCTCCCACAACGAACTCTGAGGAAGAAGTGGTCTCATTAATGGAATATATTTTATGTCCAGCCTTCATTTTAGGCACTAGTAACTACAGTAAATACAATCTGAACTTTCCTCCCAATAAGATGACAATAGACAAGTTATTTTTAAAGGATATAAAGCAAACTGTAATGTTTATTAAATATGACATCTGCAAGTTGAAACCCGCAAAAGATACTTGACATTGCAACCTCTTACCTGTGGATGATTCTTCCAAACCTCATATACAACCCTCAGAACATGGAGTTTTCCCTCATCACTTTCAGCAAGCGTTTTGAAGACTTCATGAAACCTTTTAACAGATATTAAGTAGTGAGTGGAGGTGTTGAGATTAGGTAAAAAGAGCAGCAGATATAAGACAACTGGTTTAGATAGTCACAGGATTTTCTTTTTGGCCTCTCTGCAGCAATTCTTGAACAACTATTCCCTAGAAAATATAACTGTCCTGAGCTAAAACAGGCTACAGAGACATGACAGCTCATAAAAGCAACTTAAATCTTAGTGATGAACCTACTCCCTGAAGCTGGGCTATGTTTCTCATACTCTTAAAAGCAGGAGACACTTCCATGCTTCATATGCTTATCTACACAGCTGGAACAAAATTTGCTGCCTTTTGAGCCTTAGACCTTCCTCTTGATATGTGTTTCAGCAACTTTAGACACTTATCCAATCTGCCTCTTTCTGAAGGAAATGCTGCTAAAAGCCTCTATTTTAGCAGAGTTACGCTGACTGCTACACGGCATTCACAACCCAGCTTACTGTAAGATGACTATAAAGCGTAAGAGGCTCTTTTTGATCTCATGGCTGCCACTTGTTGGTGTGCAGCAGTGAAAATACCATGGCTCTAAGTATTTATACCACCCTGCCTCTTGTACTACTGATCTGTACTACTATCAACACTGCCTCTATAAAGCTCCCAGGTGCACATGCTTCTGTTACAGCTTTATATATCTTTAAGGACAGAGAGAAAAATAGCTAATTAAGATGACTGTGACTACCTTTCATCTATCAAGACCACTTAAGAGCAACTCCAAAGAACATAGGATTAAAAATTAGTTATATAATTTCAAAAAAAAAAAAAAAAAAAGTTGCAGTAAATTCTTTAGAAGCTAAAGCATATCTTTAAGGGATGCACTCTGAAGTATTTTAGAGTGGATTTTACTGTGCTTTGGCAGATAGAAGTAGTTTACAGCAGACTGCTTTGAAGTTTCATGTTTTCTTCATTTTTTATATAGATGTTAACTGTTCTAGAGTCATATTCATAGTACAAGATATTGTGGTGGGAGCTACCCAGTCATTCAGATGGAAGGAGAAACCCTTGTTTCTCACCATCATCAGCAAATGAGTAATTCTAAAATGGAGTAATGTTGCAAACCTGTCTCATTTGCTCGATTTACATCACATGGCTATAATGTACGCATTTCTCTTAACTCCATTCACATATATAACCTAGGACTTACACTACCATTCCTTCATTAAGCAGTGTCATTAGTTCTTCTAATCACCGTGCACTGTGAAGCACCTAAAACACTGCTGAAGCTTGCAGTCCCATTCTTCTACCACGAATTTCATTAAGTGAATTAAAGCTCCAAAATAATGTACATACTACACTTACTTTGCCAGGGCACTGAAGGAGTGGCTGAAGGACTTTGCAGCTAGATGGAGCAGAGTCTGAACAAAGACTTCTATTTTCAGAGGATTGAAGGTAAATCCTTCATCTGCAAGTTAAGGTTGAAACTATAAGTACTTCAAGTAAAGCACGGAAACAACTCAAAACTGTGGAGATAACTTACGGTTTTAACTAATTTAACAAAAAAAGAGTTTCATCAATGGGTTTTTGCAAGGCTGAGCAGGGAGCTAGTAAAGACTCTCCAAATTATGCAGATCTTCAGGCTGCCATTTTGGCATTGAGAAAATATGCAGAAAGAATTCCAGGTCAGTGAAGAAGCTATCAGAGACACAGCTACTCTAGCAACATGTAACAGCACTGATGGGCAGCAGCAGAGAAAGACAGCATAAAAAAACTGCAGAGTTATGCACCCAGCTGAAGGTCTGACAGACCATAAAGAAGGGAGAGTGGATGAGAATAGGGGAAGGTAAGTATGATTAGGATACAGAGACTGGTTATTTAGTACATGGAAGAAGGGGCCAGCAAGTGTGCATCGCAAATATGGGTATTAAGGGTGAACTGTGCCGAGTCCCCTCCTGTAGCTGCAGCTTGCAACTACCTGCAGCTGAAGACAGGCAAGAGGGAGAGCATGCATCATCAGGTGATGCCTAAAGCAAATCAGTAGATATGACAGTGGATTCCAGGGCAAAAAAACAGATTGTTACTGCTTTCTGCTTGTATAACAGAACACTTGCAAATATTACAGAAATGTTGAAGCCATCCCCATTGTAAAGATCACTTCTTAATTCTCTGTCTTGCACTCCTTCTCACACTCTAACACACAGAGGCTTTAGGAATCCATGCTGTCTGTGGCTGCAAAGTTAACAAGAATGTGAGTGGAGTCCCACCACGAGTTTATATCTGTGGAAGACTACAGCCAGCAGGCTGACTGTTATCTGTCATGAGACTGCACCAAGGGGAGGGAAGCTCTCAGACAGGGCACAAGCACTGAATCTCAGGGGTGAGGATAACAAAACGAACTGCCCTCTGTTGCTGAAGGCAAAGGAAATGATAAATTCTTTCACATTACCTCCATCAATAATCACAAGAAAAATGGTTACCAGTGTTACCACTGTTAAGACAAACAGGTCCGCTTCTCCATGTAAGATGTTTACAAAAAAACCCCACCAACTAGCAATGGTGTGCTATTTCCATTTACTGATAAATTGAAACCAACTATCAGAAGGAAAAGCATACAGTTAACCACCATACTCACAGCAATAAAAGATGGCAGATCAGCCTATACACAAAAGAAATTACAGCCTGCCAAAGCTTAACAGCATATATCTTACCATCATCATCATCCTGGTTTGGATTAGGCACATCTTTTAAAATGCTGAAGATTTCATCATTACTGGCCTTATTTTTAATTGCAATTGTTAAACAAAGTGCCACAGTATATCCAGGAAGAGACCCTAAACAAAAACAAATCAAATCAAGGTCAAAAATACACAGAAGGCAAGTGAGTATTTTTAATATGTTTGCCTCTTTCAGAGAAACAAGTACATTTCCCAGCTATACCTAAAACTGTTTCCAATATCACTGTCCACATCGCTTCTCCATAAAACTGCTCAACATGTTTCCTGGTCTTCATGTTAAATTCACATCTTTCAGTAGAACCTCTAGGGTTGAGGCCAAGTGATTGCTCTCCTGTTTAAAACTCTACTTCAGCTTCCACCAGTTTCTTAAATATACTTCCTTGTTTTTCCTTACTGTATCTTTGATGATGACACTTTTATGCTTAGGATTGTCTTTACACTGAGTAATAAAAGGTATAATAAAGTATCTCTCTACCTCAATCTTTACCATCATCTTCTGCCTCTGCATGCTTCACTAAACCATGTACTCTGGTAAAATCTACCGTTTCATGAAGTTCAAAAAATAAACTCACTTTATCACTTTACATGCTGACTTTTGCATAGCATTGTGCCCAAACAGTGGAAATAGATGAATTTTCCAATTTTAGATTTCTGACAAACAATGCTGCACACCACCACAACCACCTCTGCAAGAGTAATTTCATGTATCTGGATTTTCTTTTCTTCATAAAGTAACAAAGAGGATTATATTAGAGATTCAGACTTAATATATATTAATTGCTGACGTGAAGCATATTTACTCATATAAAAAGAACACATTTCAGCTGTATTCTTTATGAAAACAACTGATTCTACAGTCAATCTAGTGTGCTCCCTTGCTCTGAAAAACTATTTTCTCCAACCAGACCTCTCAGTAACTTTAATACTTACTATTACTTTCATCTCCGTATTTGTAAATGCACACTGGATTAGCAGGACTGAGGACTGAAAAACTTGCAGGAACAATGTCTATTATTCGCTGATGGTAGGAGAGTCTGGAAATAACAAGTTTTACAGCAGTAGAATTAAAATGGGAATAACACCAGATATAATTCTAAAGTGAATGCTTTAACAATTTTCTTGTATTTAACTTTCACAGAGGAAAAATGAGGATGTTTTATACAACAGAATGATAGTTTCTGCTGGACAGTAAGAGCTAAGTAAACCAAACTTAGATGCTTTCTATTTGAACTTTGTGATGCTAGAGTTTCATCTTTGTACAATTAATTTAGCTTGTGAAAAGAGCAGAGGCTGCCTGGTAGGATGTTTTATGCAAAAACTAGTAAGGTGTTGGTATTCAGAGCAGGAAGATATTAAACTGGATGTCTTCATTTTACTTTACAGCTTATTTAACTCCCACAAAGGCTTAATTCTGCTACCAGAGTTTTCAGTGAAATAGAAGTGCCATAGAAAAACTGCATTTGTTTTGCAGTACAATACTTTCACACTTCCTATACTGAATTCACCCCAAAATGGATGAATGTTTTCATGCAGGATGCTGAATAACGTAGGCTTTTAGAACATTTTTTTTCTCTCTCTCTCTCCCCTATATCCCTCTATCTCAACAATTTTAAATCCAGCCGTGATTGTGTACTTGTTGGATTTGGAGTTTTTGTTTGTTTGTTTTAAGGTCAATGAACATCAGAGGCACCTAGAATCAAGATTAGATTCTCAGTTTTTAGTGTAACTAATGATCAGTTCCCTTCATTTCTGCAAATGATGATACTTTCCAGGACTATTGCCTAAACTCTCTTTCTTTCTATGCCTGTGGTGAAGCATGTCTTTTTCTAACTACAGGTGTGCACACCTGGATAGACAGCCCACTACTATCTGCTCCACCTGTTTCTCCCTCTCTGAAGTAGCATCCTAAATTTCCTACAGCAGGTAAAACAGATTAAAATCATATAAAGTCTCATCTCTTAACTGAAAACTGAATTGTAAGAACAGACATGCCTAAGACAAGAGTCAAGTTAAAAGGAATCTGACAGTATCCAGAAGCAAAGATCAAACTTTGCCTTGAAAGGAACTATCAAAGATCTTACTTACCGCATGCATTTCTCCAAAACCTCTCTCACAAATTTGGGTTTGGGCTTTTCAAGGTCCTGAGTAAGACAATCTGACCTATTCAAAGGACAGAATGCAATAGCTTTTAGCAAAAGAATTTGTGCTTTAGTCTCTTTTTGGCTTTATCTAAAAGGTACAAAACCACCACAGCCTAAGGACAACTGAAGCGATTCACTTAGCTTTACAGTGTAGGCAACTTTAAGACAATGAGGTAAGTTTATTGCTACTTCCTTATTGACCATTAACATTCTTGGAATCTCATCTCTGTGTGATGCATTTTCAAGTAGCTTCCCTTCCCTCACCAGATTAAAAATAATTTGTGCTTATGGTTAACTGGTTTTCCCTTTCCTTAGGAAAGGAACCTTGGGTGATTTCATAATCTGTTCCTCCCTCACAGGAATCTTCTTGATTTCTGCCCAAGTTCACATTTCCGATAAAGAAAAGTCTCAAATACAGTCACTTTTAGATTTAGAAAATGGCAACTTCTGAGAAAGACCCACAGAAACACTGCCATCAAGGAAATGGTCAGTCAACATGGATGTATAATAGAATAGCCAGCAAACACTTAACTCTACATGAGGCCAACACAAGAAACTAAAGGACACCTGGGCAGATAAGCTACAGAAAGCATGTACAGTAGCAGGCTGTTGAAGTTATTGTAGCAAGGACTTAACCCCAGGATGATCTCTCTTGCTACATGGGTGCCTGGAATGGAAAGCTCAGGGAAGCCTGCAGTTCGACTTTGATGGAGTCCAGGGAGCTCCTGCTAGAGATGCAAGTTCAAGATGTGGCATGGTAAAAATGGATGGCAGGGACAGCTCTGATGTCATATCTGATGTCAGATCATAAGGTCTCATGGATAAAGGTTATAATGAAAGGTTTAGGGTAGGACAGACAGCAAGATTACAGAATGAATACAGGATACAAAGAGTCAGGGCAAACCATTAAAAGTAAATTGGGGAGTCATTTTTGAAAATTTGCTAGCAACTGAATGAGGGTGCAGGACAAATTGAAGAAATCACATTTTTACTTCCCCTGTTCAGGGAACGCTTACACTGGTTTGAGATTTATCACAGAGTTCATCAGGGACAATACAGTGACTAAAGAGATTACCAAAATAATCTGCCACTGAGTGGTGGTGAACAGATTAAGAAAGATCTCTGAAAAGCTGGAGGAGAGCAATTAACAGGGCCACTATGCTGTGATGCTTCCTGAATAAGTTTGAAATTAGTTTTTTGCAATATCAGGTTCGAATCAAAAGGAGGGAAACTTACCAATCTTCCCAGCTCCAACGGAACTGAAAGTTGCTCAAATGGTGAGAAAACCAGTTAATAAATCTTTATTAAAAGAAAAAGAAAGCTCCATTAAAAGTCAGAAGTGCAGGAAAACTTCCAGTTGACATTTTCTTGTAAGTCCGTTCTTCTTTTCAAAGGCAAGCCTAAACTCTAAAGCTATTACAGCATTAATCAGGCTTTTATGTTGACAGATACAAAAGACTGAGTTCAGAGAGTCAGAACGAAGCTTTTATGGACAAATAAACAGCCTGTCATGTTCTGTTGTCTCGTACGAAGAGATGACCTATTAATTTAATAATTAAAATATAAACTCACCGTGAACATGTGACTTTCACATTTTTAATGAGTAATTAACAGCTCTTCTACACAATGCAGACTTCACTCAAAGGGCAAAATCACCACTACTCTCCTTCTCTGGGCAGCACATATGCCATTAACTCTACTTCCAAGTCACCTCCGAGACCAGCAGGGAGCAGGCATAGCACTAGGTAACAAAGTACTATGCAACTATGAACACCTTTTAAGATGGAAAAGCTGCCACCAATCTTAACTGTCCTGTAGAGACATCTACACTTGTGACCTCCAGGGTAGTGTTTCTGGGAAGGAGAGGCAAGCAGTTCTCTTTGGACTGCTCAAAGCCAGAGCCCAGAAACATTTTGATTTGCATCAAAAGTTGTAGCAAGGACTTCTGACTACTCTTTCCATAGCGTCTTCATTTTTTCTGTAATTGGATATTGACAAATATTTTTCATTGTCTCCAGAACACACCTACCTGTCTACACAGGTGGTATTCATGGTATCCAAGCGCATGTAGAGCATTTCCGTGGCTTGTGCAAGCTGTAAGATTTTATTAAGGATTACAGAAAACACTAGGTAAGTCTGATGTTATTCCCTTTAGTTTTTTAATAGAATGTCATCAACTTTTTGTACTCCCCAGGTCTATCCCCAAGTCAGGTAAATCAAATTAAAAAATGAGGCATATTGTGAGTTCTACCCTCTAATTCCAGTCTGGTTTTCTTCTATTACTGCAATGAGACTGTTGGCTTCTTCCATAAAAAGCCAGAATTTGCATCATGCAACAAGCTAAACTACACTGATATCAACAGACACCAATATCCTTACAGAATACTTCCGTAATCTCACCAGTTTTAGCTTCATGGGCTGCTCTTGATGCTTTATTCACAATCTTTGATCATCACTGAAGGCTTAAGAAAGTATGTCTACACTGACTTTGCCCAATAAGGCCTTTATCCTTCTTAAGAGTGTCCCTACTAACACTAAAAACTTTCTGCACAGACATCTGCCCAATTCTAAAAATAGACTTGGCTTTAATCATTGAGATCATGTGATTTGCAAACAGTGATTAGTATCATGAAACAGAATTAAAATTTGGGCATGAAATTACCAGTGGATAGTCATCTGTTAACCATCCTCCATTCTCAGTCTATAGCTTGATCTAAACCAATGATCTAACATGATCTAAAACAGCAGCGAAGTAGGGGCAGTGTAATAGCCACAATTAGCTGGGAGTCATGCCTCCTACATCAGCATTTAGCTACCCCGTCTGAGGTAACAGATGATTATTGACCTGCTGAATGCTCCTAGTGGGAGCACTGGGTGGGAACTCAAGCAAGTTCCTTTAAATCCTCAGCTACACTTCCTACTAAAAAGAGTAGGAGCACTCACACAGTTGTTAGAACAAAAGATCAAGTCTGTCACTTCCTTTCCTTCTCAGCCTTTAATGTGTCTGTGGCCCTGCCACACACTGTCCAGACCTAAACAGGCTGCAGTGACAAAGAAGAGTATTGTATTTTAACCCCTCACTAAGACAGCAGTTCTTGGGAGGGTCAGAGGAAGTACCAGAATATTGTCCAGAAAGCAGAAGAGTCTTGGCTACTTGGCAAATCTAGACTTGGTCTTCACATGAGTGTTACAGGCAGTTTCATGCAGCTACTGTAAAATACTAATACTCATCATGTACAGAACAAACAAAATAAAGACTGCATTTTATAAATGCTCTCCAGTAGCACAGAAAGGATACAACTTGTGGCAAAGAGCCAGGCTGAAGTTTGCACAGTTCAATCAGGAGTGTTGTGTACATGACTTCAATGTGTGGTGGAGATGGAAGTTGAAACAATTCTGCAAATATTACCTGTAGGAGAGGAAGGCACAGAATCAGAGCACAGTCTGACATGGCCTGCACAACCCTCAGCTTCACAGTAGTGACCATCAATCTTAAACAATTATATAGCCAAGAAGTATATTTTTTATATATATAATTCTGTCAAACGCATGTTCCGGGAAAAAGAAACAAACTTATGAAGACAGGAGTAACCCTATACTATACTAATACAGTCCACTCTAACTGCTCTTATCATTTCATACTAACACAACACCAGCATTATATACCTATCACGTCTAACAAATACACCATGTAACTGTAGAAATGGGCATAGTTATAATATGACCTACTGCAGTGCTACCACACGGTCTAAGATCAATCTGATTCTGGTTAATAATAAATAAACATATTAAATGAAGCCTAAGCACTTAGTATAAAAGACTACTTGCATTAAAATTACATCTGTATTTTTTCCATTGTGTCCTCTTTTCTCCTGTACAAAAACTTACACAAATAAAGTCACAACTTTCAATCCAAAATTACAACCAGCATTTCATACAACAAAAATACATGCTCAGTACCCTTTGGCAGAGGATCCTTCTAAGAAAACTGAAAATAATCCTGCATTCACCATTCATGTTTTTATTTTCAAGTTTGGCTATAACAGCATGTCAATGCTGTGATGGCTACGAAAAGATCATCATTGTACCACATTCATCTCTCAGTTTCTATTTTGCATGCCATTCTCAACTACATTTAAATTATATCAAAGGAATGAGGAAACACTGATTCAATATGGTTGGTCAATTTCCTCTACAACTTTTAACTTCTAAATAACATGGAAGAATTGAACCTTAAATGAGTAAGTTTTAGAAAATTGTCTTACTAGTTTAAGAAATCAACATCCATTTGTAGACTCCACAAACAGCACATGAAAACACATCCACTAGAACTTATTCTAAGGAAGGACTTGAAAGTATGACTATAAGGAGCTGGAGAACCTTTCCATGACAGTATAATTTGGACATACTGTTAAGACAGATAGGGGGAACCCTGTTAGGTAGAAAATCGCTCGTTTCCTCAAGACAGGAAATAACAACAGTATGATCAGTTATTGTCTGTTTGAGATACAGCATAAAACAGTATTTGTGATATTCATCACATGTTCATTATCAAACATTCAGATTAAGTGTTTCAAACTGGTATGACATACTTTGTGAAAATAAGGCCACAAGAAAGATCAGGAGACCAACATTCTGAACATTTGAACTCTGTGAAGTGTGTTGTACCAAAGGCTGCAGGAGCACAACAGGGCTTAGCAGTCCAAGCCAATGACACTGCCCAGACACTCCCTGTTCACAGCTACCAGAAATATCCATGTACACATCCAGAAGGAGCTACTGAGAGAAAGGCACATTTCAGTGTTTCACACAGATGCCTGGCAGCACAGAGTATTATGTGCTTGGCGTAACAAGCTACGCTGTGGAGCCTCAGGGTCCTCAAAAAGAGTCATACTTGGGAAGGTACTGACAACCACTTTCAGGCTACATTTACTTCTGCCTAACTCTGTTCTGAACCTGAAACACTTTCCTTTATTCGTTAGACTGTATCGTTCCTACAATTCTGTGACTTACTAAAAAAGTTAGTGAAATTCCACAGATAAAACTGTTAAACTGTGTTGAAAGCATCATACTGCCAACTTGACTATTAGGAGAGACTTTACAAGGGAGCAGTAGTAAGCAGAACAAACAGGAGCCTAAAAAAAGCATGCTAAGCCTTAAAAACTCTAGAGCTTTATTTAAAGTAAGCAGTCATAGCCAAGTTCCAAAGTTAAAATTCTACAATAACTCAATACTGCAAGAAAAAGGGAGTTATTACACTAATAGTCAAAGAATTTGTACACCGACCATGCACTTCTTTCCAGTAATTTCATCTGTGCAAACCTTTGGTATTTTCACCTCCTACAGGTTTCTGAATCAATGGACTTCCAGGCCCCTTACATAACTTATTTTGTCAAGAATTGCTGTAACTATTTGTTGGCATTAGTGTACAACTGAGCATACACAGCTGTATACAGCACTTGAAGATACTGAAGACCAATGAAGATACTTCAGTGTTAAGGCAGAAAATTATTGTTAATCTTAAGATTCTTCTGTTCTGAATTCAGAGTACAAAAAGAACAAGCTGACCAAAAGTACTGTAACTTTACAGCAATCAGAATATTTGGCATTTTGGTGCCAAGAGGAATTTTCAATCCCACTTTCATTAAGATAAATCTCCTATTTTGTTATAATTAGCTCTGAAATTCCTACTTATAGTTACTTCTTCATAAAGCCTTTATATGACAAGTTGCCATTCTTACTAAAATCTCTTAATCCCTTTCAACTTTTGATGGAAATTAACCAAGTTTTATACAGCTCTGCATCTTGAAAACAGACCCTTGGAAGGAGGCAGTAAAAGAAAACGTATGCTGCTCTTGTGATACACATTACAGTTATTTAAAATTCTCTAATATGGAGTATGCCTCAGAGGAAACACACTGCTATTTCACTGCAAGTTCTTTTCAGGAAAAGAACATAATAATTTAGAATCACAAAATCATGCACAATGACCAAGTGTGGCTGGAGATAATCTACTCAAAAGCCCCCTGTTTAAGGCAGGGTCACCCAGAGCACGTTGCTCAGGACTGTGTCCTGTTTATTAGATTTTGAAATTCTCTAAGGATAGAGAATCAACAACTTCTTTGGGAAAACTTTTCCAGAATTTAATCACCTTTGCAGTAAAAAAAAGATTTTTCTTATGTAGAAATGGAATTTCTTGTATTTCAATTTGTGTTCATTTCCTCTTCTATCTCAATTCAAATTTTTTTAAAACTAAATGTGACTCAAATGTAGCCCTCTCTTACGCTGTGTGATATGTTAGAAGCAGCACATGTAAAATGTTAAAAGTTTGAGAAATGCCACAAACTAGATTACTAGTGCACTAAGAAATTTTGGTACTTGACCAAAGCTCCCATGCACAAAGTTAAAATGATAACAAAAAGCATAAAACTGATGTTCAACTGCACATAACCTGTTCATTTAAAAACCACTGGTTGAATTCAGCAAGGTTTTTGGTTGACTCCCAAATCAAACGGTAATTTAATGGACCTATCATGGAACTAATTGGGACATGTCACCTGTGAAGTAACAGCGCTACAAAGAGGTTACCTATAAAATCCATACCTCCACTATGTGGTAGTTCAAGGGGATCTTGTTATTTCCTGGATAGCTCAACAGCTGTGCAGCACTGCAAAACCACAGACACATTTAGTTCAAAACACAGCACAGCAAATGTGATGCAGAGATCAAGTAGCAAAGTTACAATGCTTAATTCTGGGCAAGAGTTCACACAAAAGCAGCACAAACACATCCAAACCTTTCCATAGTCTGTCCATCAATCCATAGCACACTTAAAACATAAAAAGCGCAAGAACACCAGCATTGCCTAAACTATAATTTGTATTGATGTATTTTATCTTCACATAGTTACACCACTTGAACGCTATACTGCTACACAAAATAGTTTTGCATAAATAGTCATGGTGATCTGTAATTCTGGCATGCATATATGAAAAGGAAAAAATCTCCAGACAGATGTTCAGTATGATTGAAAACACAACGAAGCTAATGGCTTATATAAGAATCTCTCCATGCTCATTTTTCAATCAGCTCATTATCACCTATCGTTATTACAAAGCAAACAACTGCTACTTCCTTGACTTTACCTCTCTGGCAAATCTTTTTTCTTCTCTTTCCTTCTAGTCTTTTACTTTCCTCTGAGAATTAACATACTACCTCAGTAACTGCAACAACCCTGAATTTCTAGTTTCTGCTGAATCAAACAACTGCAACCAAAAAACTTCATCACATGCCAATACCAAAACATTGTTTCTGCCCATTTTTGCATATTACACAAAGTTTGGTCATTTTCATTTGAAAGCATAACTCAGCCAATTACCTGTGGCAAACAATTTTGGTTATCAATTACCCACACCAGATACTGCTCAGGTAGAAATGAAGTGCCCTCTGCTTCCTGGCAGAGCTGAATTCAAACTAATGAAACCTGGTGGTCCTGGAATGACTCCCAAGAGCGAGCTCAATTATCCCTGCCATATAATCCCAAAGAGAATATAAGAAGGAACAGGAAGCAGAAGGGTATTCATGAACACCAGTGTGCAGTCAGCATATGAGTGCCCCAACAAATCAGCAGCTTCAAAATTCCAGGAAGTAAAACACAACCACACTCTACAGAGTTCTCCCATGAAGAGTAAGGTGTGTCTGCATATTTCTTGCAGCACATCCTGCATTATCAATGAATTCCCTTCCCAAGGAGCCCCTGTTTCCCTAGATCATACAGGCTTTCCATTATCTGGATATTATAGACCCACAGTATTCCATGAAACAGTTTTAATATAGTTAAATGTAGTAAATTAAGTTTCATCAAATGCTCTAGGAAATGTTTCGTCTTGAGCTCTTGTGTAACCAGTGCATATTCCTGATGACACCAAAGCCATAGTAGCACATAAAGTGCCAGGCCCCCGTAGTGATAAGCTCTTCCTACCAAGTTTTTCTCTCTTTCCAGTGGGATTTGATGATGCAGTGAAGGTTCTCTTCTATAACAAATCGTTCAACAGAGTGGCTGCCAGGCATGACAGGGCCCTGGTAAGAAAGAATTAAGACTCATGAAAGATCACTGTTAATGCAGTGGTGCTACAGGTAGCAAAGCTATGCTACGTACATTTACAGGTGGAAAAAATAGTCCAACTTCCACATAAACACAGTAAGTCTCAGCTGCCCTGTATCCTTCAGGACTGAGAATCTGGTGTGACAGTTCCACACAAACCTCAGATAGATGTTTAAAAGGAAAAATAATACTAGGACTCATTACAAAAAGAAATGGAAACAAAATCAGAGAACATGATTATAAGTTCATTGAGTATCTGCTGCTTCTTTTGCTCTGTGGGCCCATCAGGCAGGCTACCACCATGCAGTCTGGTAAAAAACAGAAAATCAGAGTTAAGCTGATATGTGATAAAGAAATAAAGCCAGGAGTGGCCAGGATGAAGTGGAAAGAATATACAGTTATGGTCTCATTCACTGCAAAAAATAGGGACCAATAAAAGAAAGTAAAAGGCAACAGACTTAAAGCAAAGGGAGGTATAAAAGCACTTGGGGAAAGCAGTATGTATTCTTTTCCTATTCCTATACACTTTTGTCTCTATCTCTGCTGTTGATCAGTGCTGAAGGAAGACTGCTGAGATAGATGGATCTTTTGCCCACCCCAGTTAAGCACTCTTATGTCCCACAATATTCATCGACAAATTTCAACAGATGAGTAAACAGTCTTTAAACATTACAATAAATACCTAGCCTGAAAAACGACTCATGACCAAACTTTATGGAAGGAAAGTCTTAACTGTGAATGTAGTTTTACTAGAGACATTAGAGAATTCAATCAACACTGTCATTCTAAATGAAAGCATCACAGCATCTCGCTCCCCAAATTCTCCTCCTCAAATTTGCTTTCTACTTGGTCACTTAATTCATTTCTGCAGAAGTACCAAAGCAGAACTGCTCCTAGTCTCCAAACCACTCACCATTCTGGGAAAGAGGACATCGTATTTTGACCAATATTGCCCCAGGAACCTAACTGTGAAATCCGCTCACCATCCCCCACAGCAACCACATACCTCAGGGTCATCTGTGTAGTCAAACATCCTAAAAATAACCCTTGGCATCGGATACACTGAATCTTCGGTGTGAGGTGGTGGAGTGAACGGAGGCAGATTGTGTTGCAGCGCTTCACACAGAATGCTGTCAAAAGCTAAGTAGGGCCTCAGAATGTGTCGTTCTTGCCAACGGTCTTTTTTCAACTTCTGAATCTGAGACCAAAGGCAGTCTAAATACTGAAGGAAAAAGGTGAGAAACATCAGATGTGCTGAATCTGTTAAAAGCTGGCAGCTCCCTGAACTATCAGAAAAGTACTTCTTAAATTTCATATTCCATTCAGAAAAAAAAATTTCTTAAATTCTGATTCAGTAAACCAAGAAATAAATTAAGAACTCTAAATGTCAGAGCTTGCTCCTAATTCCACGCAACATTGTGTCAGTAAAATTTAGCCCCTGGCAGGTTTTTAAACACTAACAGGCAGCCCAGGAGTCTAAGCATGATGGCCATCCTTTGAATTTGCCACAGAACTACAGCCTTGAACATTACTTCAGATACTGCTCATTGCTGGTATTAAAACATATATAATAACTGTCATTAAAATTGGAAAGACATTATGTAGGACTGCTATGCTGTTCCCAGAGCAATCAAAACTACCAGCTACCACATATTCAAGACAAACACAATACTATCAAATATTAAATACCTTTGCCATGGTTTTCAACACAATTGTGAGTCACAGCATTCTCCCAGAGATGGCACAGACACCTGTGCAATTGGCAAGAGTCTTGTTTTGTTTAATTACTCTCCTGCTAAAAGCAGTCCAAGAACTCTTGAGACCTGTGGCCTTACTGAACTCTAGTTTCAAGTTATGAGTGGTGCAAGAAATATCTTTACATGGAAGTACTTTGAATTTACTGAAATTGTCACTCTACAAAATTAACAACTGGCATCTGAAGTGAACAGTCATGTTTATGGTAACTCTGGGTAACATATGGTTTCAAATGCACTCTGCTAATCTCTCCTCTACTGAACAAAATAAGGAAATGCAGATATTGGGCAGGCATAATATTCACGTTGACAAATCAGTCATAATTAGCCAGCCTATCTCTCCAAATTATGATTAACTAAACAATTTTAAGGCTGATTTAATCATAACAGTGAACAAAACGTAAGAGAGAGATGTTCCAAAACTTCCCAGATCAATTTAGATCTCACTTTCCAACTCAGTTGATCCTCAAACTTAGGGGAAAGAAAAAACTCCAAGAATATCTGAAAAAGCAAACCTGACCCCAAACTAGCCAGATGCCACCACTCCCCTCCAGTATTTTTAGCTTAATTGTGAAAGATGGCATGGTAATTGCTGCATACAGTTTCTATATATTTGTTTAGCACTTCCTAGATCTGAGAAAGCAACCCACTACAAAGATTTCCTTCTTGCAAAGGGAGAACATTAAGGGGTAAGTAAGGAATTACATTCTGCTGGTCACAAAGGTCCTTTTAACATGAAGCCCGTACCTGCAATTCCAAAGCAAACACTACAATTTACAACCATTTCTCACTTAACATTTCCTCAGGGGCCTGTCAGCAAACAATCAAACACTCTCTACTCACCCCATACAACCTTATATTTAGATCCAAGACTTAGAAGATAATTCTTTGTGTAAAACTTGTTAGAATTAATAACAAACAGGAGACCATTCAAAGCATTAATACTTTTAGAGGTATCTTTCAATTTTATGATAAAAGAACACCTTACTAAAAAATTGCTTCCTGAAAAAGTGCAATGTAAAGTCCACTCACCTCTTCTTGCGGATGTGGCTTATCAGCAGTCCAAACTTGTAGCATAGGTACATGAATCTTCTGGCGGCGTCTGTTTACACAGGAAAGAAAAGCTGATCCTTAAAAGACTAATTTAGAGTAGCAATTTTTTTCTTATTGCAAGTGTACTATTTGATCTCTTCAGCTGATGAAGTCTACAGTATACAAGAACCAGGTTTGTGATTACTCAAAATACATCTATTATCATATCCTGACAACATTAACCTAAAGCATCTAGACAGAAAGCAGTCACACTGCAGAGCACTAAAGCAACAACCTATCAGTATTCACAGCACACTTAAAACTGCAGCTGCTCCAGCACGAACAGAACAAGACCTTCAACACACCTGAAATGCTGGGGTTTCAACCCCAAGCCCCAAATTAAGGTTGACATATGGGTGATTCCTACAGCCCTTCCCAAAGTGGGGGTGAATTTCCCTTTAGGCTTCCCTCCAGGGTGCAGCCAGCCTGGCAAGGAGAGCCATTGGGTAAATGAGCCCCAGGTGTCCCCCACTCAGTAACCAAAGGTCAGGTGTCCCACTTAGGGATAAATGCCGGGACCCCTTGCAGGAAGGGGCAGTGTCTGTCTGTGAGGTAGATGTACTTTGCAGAGTTTCCTGTTGGGAAAGGACCTCCTGCCTCCCTGGAACTGGGCTCCAGTCAGGTCTGGCTTTTGTAAACGTGGGCTGCGTAGAGATTCAGTGTGTGGCTTCCTTGGTCTTGTGTATTTGGCTTGTTGACTTGGTTGTCTCCTGTCTCTTCTATGGGAAAATGCTTTTCATGATTTATTCCACCCATTGTTGGTTGTGCGGTGTCATTGTTGGGGTCAGTGGGATTGATGTTAATTATGTATAATCTGACTTGTCTATACCCCATGACCCTTTTTTTATCAAATATAATTTGGTTATTGGTTCATCTTTATGTTGGCTGTGTCCTTTATGCTAGGCCTAATAATTGGCAAAACTATACCCTAGAACTAGACAAGACAGTAAAACTTTTCAAATACAAAAAAAATCTCTACACCTATTCTATTTTCAGGGGTTTCCCCCGCCCCGAATGGCTCAGACCTAAGACCTCAGAATACTTTTAAGTGAGCAATAATCAAAGCTATTGAATAGATACCAATAAGAGTGTTTTTAATGGGTTACAACTTACTTCAAATAGCTTTCTGTCTGAGACAAGAGACGATCTATTTCAGCATCCTTTTTCTCATATAGCTCCTTTCCAACCCAAGGCAAAGATGACAGGAATGCAAACATATACCAGTCACATCGAACCTACAGGAAAGAAATAGCCTGAAATCTAAGTATACAAGTATGTGCCAAAAGATTGTGAACACATACCACATTTTAATTTAAATTGAAACAACAGCAAAGCTACTATTTTGCAGTGATATAAAGACCAGCAGTTTAGAAGACTGGAATGGCAAGCCATTAAAAAATACTTTCTTGCTTAAAATGTGATTTTTAATTTGAACAGTGATAAGCAGACTTAAAAATGGTATCACTTTTGCAGTCCTTCTGCAGTTTATCAATATAGCAGAACAAGTCAGGCACTAAGCACTTGTCAGAGTAAAATTAATTCACTCCAGTGACCTCACTATAAAGGACCATGCTTTCTTACTGTATATATGTATTTTCTAATTGCCATGGGCTTCTTTTACTCATGCTAAGGAAACTAACTGCACATGAGACAGTCTATTTAGTTTGCTGTCTCTAGAACTTTCCTGTTCTAAGCATAAGTACAGAAGCAATGGTACAGAAAAATTGTGAAAACAGCACTGGAGGAGCCACAGATCTTCTGCTTACTTGGGGCACGTCTTCCTCCTGTGTCACACTCACAAAGTTCTCAAACATAGCTACCATTGAAGGTGCAGCTATTACGTGACAATTTACAAGATCAGATAGAAAACGAACCTGAAAGAGACCAAAGAAATGTTTTAAATTAATACTTTTTAAACTGACTGCACAAGAACAAGTAAACATTACTTAAATAATGACTAAAAGTACAATACATATTCATATGAAGGCAGAAATAATGCATACTGTATGGACCCACCTTACAACCCTGGAAAAATACTGTAAGTGCTGCCTAATGTCATTCATTACAACATCTGTAATCTGTTTCACTGCAGTAACATTGCAAGGATATTTCTAATTAAGGAAAGGTGGGAAATACCAATACGCATTCACAGACATGCAAACTGTTACTACAGAAAACAAATGCTTGTGCTTCTATCTACTCTAAATGGTATCAGATCACTAAAATTACAGAAGTGGAAGGAAAAAGACTTCCTAAAAGCTGAAGATGGATTGATCCATTGCTTTGAGACCATCATCAGGAAACAGCAATGCTGAATCTGTATGCCACTATATATGATTAATTTCTATAATTATTTATTCATAAATACAGATAGTTACACAGAGACCCTATCTAAAAACTGCTGGCATTTGGGGGTTTTAGAAGTGTGACAGGTTGATGGCATCCTGGAAATCAAATGGACTTATCTGCCTCAGAAGAAAAGTCTCCATGGCATGAATACATCCTTGATTTGGCTGCACTCTAGTAAGAAATTCAGACTGACAGAATTTAAGCAGAAGACATCTGGGGCAGAGCAGTGCCTCCTTTCCCCCCCCCCC